TCCCGGCGCTGCTGGCCCTGGGCTGCGCCGCCGACAGCGACTTCGCTGAGGGCGGCCCGGAGCGGCGGCCCGGGCCCGGCCCCGCCTGCCCCCGCGACTGCGGCTGCACCCAGGAGGGCGTCGTGGACTGCGGTGGCATCGACCTCAAGGAGTTCCCGCTGTTGCTGCCCGAGCTGACCAACCACCTCTCCCTGCAGGTAAGGCCGCCATCCATCGCCCCCGTGCCCTCATTCCGCCCTGAACGCCGGCGCCTTCCCTGAGCCCCTCCTCGGCTCCCGGCGGGAGCTGCAGGTGCAGCAGGCCCGGCTCCTGAGCTCGACGAATGCACCTGGTTATCGGCATCCCCTCCCCTCACATCCAGGGAGGGGAAAAAGAGCTCCACATTCTCTCACAGCTCCATGAGAAGAATTTTCGTCCAAACCAACAATTTCTTGTTTGTCCTTAGCCAGCCCATATTTCTGGTGGAGCCCTTCCACTTGAAGTGTCTTTGAAGAAGATGGGCTAAATGACAGAAATTTTTTTGGGCAGCACAGTGTGTTAGTTCAAACACGGTGAGCCAGTGCAGAGGCAGGGCCAGCCCATGTCCCCCACTGTCCCACCTCTCCCTGCAGCACATGGAGTCAGCAAGGAGCAGGTGTGCCATGGCCACTGGCACCCACCACCCCAAGTGGCACTGCCTGGTGCTGGGCTGCCTGTGGCCAGGACACTGATGTCATGCCTACAGCAAATGGTCCTGCTCCAGACACCTCATGTCTTGTCATGAAAAAGACATATAAGATGTGAGATTCCAGGTTCTGGAAGAAGATTCAGGATGTCCTAGACTGTCAGCAGGTCTCTATATTCTGCTCTTAGTTAATTGATCCCTGTGACCAGCATTTGGGCAGGTGTCCTTTCCCTGCCAGCACCCTGACAGCTGAAGGGCCAGAGCATGGCAGCCCTGTGGCAGTGCCTCCTTGGAGTAGTTGCAGTAGTTCAGGTTTTCAGTGCCTGAACTTGTCCTACACCAACTCCTTTTGGTTTATTGCTTCCATCTGTCAATTCTTTCCAATGGATGAAATGCAGATTTTGTTTAGAGCTTTTCAGTTACAAAAATTGTAATGTAAGCTGGCACCTTCCTCAGCAGATCTGTCCCAGGTGTGTGCTAGCCATGGTTCCTGCCTCTTCCAAAAGAAAAGAAACTGTTTGGAGCTGCAGGCATCACTTTCTGTGCATTGGCCTGGCTTCCAGCACAGTGGGTCCTTGATTGGTCCCCTGGGTACTGAAACTAGAACCACTCATTAATGGTCAGAATGTTAGTCAGCACGTTAATGAAAATCTGATGGCAGTCACAACCAGTGCAAGTGAGCCTTGTTTGACACTCCTTGCCTGTGACCTGTGGCTTTTAAAACAACCCATGAATAACAGAAGCCATAAGCTTGGAAATCCACCATGCCAACCATATAGCAAAGGCTTTGCTGCAGCTACAAGGTTTGGCTGTGGCATATGTACTGTGAGCCTTGCCAGGCATAATCACACTCTTTGTGTGCTACTGGTGCGTAAGCTGAATATTCCTGGAGATGAACAGAAGTCAGGCTTTCAAATGCTCCTGGGTTTGGATGTTTTGGGTTTGAGATCTGAGTTTGGCTCATTATGAAAGAAGTCTTGACAAGGATTTGACATGGTGGGTTCACTTCCAGATTTTATTGAAGTTCAGAGTCTGGGTTTACTGGGATCTTTCTTGGATTACTTTGTTGATGATTAATACTCTCCATTTTCTTAGAATAACCAAATAGAAGAAATCTTTCCAGAAGAGCTTGCTCGTCTTTATAGACTGGAAACTCTCAATTTGCAAAACAACAGGCTGACTTCAAAAGGTGAGCCACAGGGTGGACAGAGCCTGTGCCTCCATAACACCAGCTTATGCAATGAGGCCAGTGACAGCTGATAAGGAAGGCCAGGGTGATGAATTGTGTTGGTTGGAGTGGTTTGCTATGAGCCTCACTCCTCTGGCCATCACACAGAGCATGGAGACACTTTATCATCTGAAATACAATACTCAGTGTGGAAGAATGCAGCCCTGCTGAACCAGTGGAGGAGACCTGGCAGCAGCTCGTGTACTGTGGCGTGAGATCTCCTCATCCAGGAAACTCCCTCTGGTCCCACAGGCACTTCCATGCAATGCACTTGAGAACCAGAAACATCCACATGCTAAATGATTTCCTCCTGAATGACCTTCTTTAGTTCAGACTAGTCAGTCAGAGCAGTTTGGTCCAGTTTTGTCCTTGTCAAATTTGGTATGAATTTATATACATACTACAAGTAAGGACATTTCTACCCTTCTCAAACATTTTGATTTTGGTAGGCAGGTTTTGCTTGCTCAGTCTTATGCTTATTAGAGAAAATTAACAAGGGGTTAGTGAGGAAAGCAAAAGAAACAGGAATGGGAGTAAACAGTAAGAGAGAAGGATACAAAAGATGTAATTATTAATTTATGTATCATCCAGTTCATATGAATGCTCTTTTGATCTTTTTTGAAATGATAGAGAACAAAATTTGTTGAAAATGTGGGCATATTATACATGGGCACTAAGGCACAGCAATCTTACATAGCACAGGGAAAGCTGTGCTTAATATATCCAGCCTTTGACATTATTACCTTTGGGCCTTTGTGTTTTCTTTCACAGGCTTCAGTGCAGCCCTGAGTTACCAACATGTTTTGACAAGGGAAATAGCTTCACCTTTGGCTCGTGGTTATCTAAGTGCCAGGTGAAAGTGTTACTTGCAGGCTTTCCATTGTGACAGCAATTGTGCTTGTGTGATTAGCTGGATGTGGAGTGACTCAGCTGAAAATTAATAATTTCTGGGGGAGGATAAGCCCTGAAGTAGATCGGGTCTCTGAGCTGGTTGCTGTTTGGGTATCTGTATTGGGGGGAGCAGAGCAAGAGGAGGATTGTGACATGCAGATACCAGGGTTATTTTGGCAATATAGTCATACATCAGCTTGATCTGATCATTAAGCAACCTCCAATTATAGCCTGGGAAGAAAAAAAGACTTGCAGAATCTTATGCAAGTGAAAGGAGAAGGTTCTCAGATAGTGTGGTTGCTGCAAGCACTGAAAATCAGCCATAGAATAGATCTGCACAGCTTTGTACCTGACCCCTGCCAGTGGGCTTGGCCACAAGCCTTGTGTGATCAGGATTTTAGGTAGTCCTTCATGGCTTTTAACAAGTGTGTATTGTTTGATTTAGTTTGTGGGTTTGTAGGTTCTTTTCCAATTAAAAAAAAAGACGTCAGTAGGTCTGAATCAGATTGTTTCAGTGGCTATAAAAGTGTTTCAATCTCACATGGAAGATACTGGAAGGGAAAGCTGCCCTCTGGTATTTTCACTTAGAAAGACAGTAAGGTGCTGATGTCACTGATTAGTTATTCCTCTTTTTAAGGGTTGCCAGAGGAAGCATTTGAGCATCTGGAGAACCTGAATTACCTGTACCTGGCAAACAATAAGGTAAAAGGCTGTGAAGCCTTTCAGAGCTCTTTTCTAATTGGGTTCTGAAAATTAAATGATCAAGTTGTCAATTCTTTTTAAATGTACATGCTACATAAGTAAAACTGTGCTAAAGTGATATTCTAACACAGGGTCATTTAAGGTCAAAACAGTTTGTAAAAAGTTTAGAGGCTACACATGCAGGTATATTTTGAACATTTGTTTATTTGTGCACCTGCTGAAAAGTTTCACTAGTGTAGGGAGGTACAGGGAGCCCCTGCATGCATTAATTACCACTGTCTTCAGCAGGCTTTGAATCAACTGCATAATTTGATTCCTGCCTGTATGTGGGGTAATGATGAAATGCTGCCTTATCAGATGAGGATGATTGAAAAACTTATGAACAAGTCCTAGTGTCTGTGTTTGAACCATCAGAGTCTGTAAAAAGCTATCCAGTTTTCCCTGACTTCCATTGTTACTGGGTTGAATATGGGGAGGACACCCCCACACAGTGAAACTGTGCCAGTCATTATTTTATTCTTTTAGCTGTGGTGGTAGGAGCTGAATTTCTTCTTTTGATGAAGAAGATTCCAGGTGCTTTCCTGTTATGACCCAGGGTGGATGTATTGACAGAAGCATATCTTTCCTGCCAAGGCTAGGAAATGAAATAGCTTCTCATATACCCTTGCATCTGGGTGGTTCCTGTTATGACTTCCTTTATCCCCAGTGATTGTCCACAAATATTTGCTACAGAAGAAATTAGGATCCACAGAAAAATATAAGTTAAAACATCAGGCAGAGCTTCTTTGTGTATAAAAGTCCTGCCCTTCCATTCCACCCTCTCTCTCTCTCTCTGCATGTCTGTATATATATTTTATTATCCTCTTAAAATCTGGGACCATTTGATGTTCTGATTAAATACATGTGGCCACATTTAGGTTTCAGTCAGGCCAAGACACATCCAGAATCACTCCATACATTTCTGTATGGAGTGATTGAGAATAGAACCCATTCCTTAGTACAGTAACATTGTGTTCTTTTCTCTCTTTCAAGCACCATTTCCATGTAACAATCTTGGCAGTTAATAACTCCATAAAAAGGAACAAGCCAGACTGTGACTAATATTCCAGAACCTTGCACTCTGATTTTCCCAGTGTAACAAAACAAAGTGTTTGGTTTTTCTGGCTTTGCCGCAGAGAGAAAAGAATCCCAAAAGAAATTGCAAACATCAGCGAATGTCACAAGTAGTTATAGTGAGAAGTTGTGGACCTGCAAAAATAACACATTTCTTTATAAATCACAAGCCAGGACAAACCAGATTGGCTTCAAACTGCATCTCCTCTGCAGCAGGAAACACTGTGGATCAAGTTACTGTGGTGTCTGGAGGAGAGCAGGGATTTGCTGCTAGTTTGCTCCTTGTTTTATGGATTATCTTAATGCTGCTTTATCTTCCATTGTGATCCCATCAGATGTAGCTCAATCATCTTTCATTAAACTGGCATAGTAGGTCAGACAAAAGAAATGTAAGAGACTAAAAGCCTTCTGTGGACTGTGAGTAACAAATACTTCAAGAAAAGAGTGGATGTTGTAGTTTCCTTATTTTTTTCACCCCACTCTTTACATACTTTACATAAAAAATACATTTTGTATTTCTCAAGTAGAGTGCATGTTAATAAGAGAAATTAGTCCACCAAATGATAGACCAGATCCTGAGCTGCCATTATTATTGACTATAAGCAGGTGATTTTGGTGACAGAAGGTTTACATTTCCCCATATCCTCAAAGTGGTATGGGATTCACCCCAATTCAGCACTTCTGTTTTTATCAAAGCTTCATTCAAGCAAGAAAAATCCAAGCAGTTCAAAATTGATAATGACTTTTGTATTAACCTTCTGAATTCATTAGTTAACAGTGGAGAAACACTCTGCCATATTGAAAGGAAGGTACAGCAGTAAAGTTGAAAGAAAAATTGCAGTAGGAGAGATGGCAGATTGCTTCTTGTTAGGCAATAAATGAGACAAAGCTATTCAAGTCAACTTTATTTTTGCTAACACTTAAAACAATCCAGCATGAATTCTTCAAGAAGGTAATCAGTGAAACTCAGTCTCATGACCAAGATCTGAAATGCCAAAGCAAAGTCATGAGCAAGTGAAAACTCTTTTTGGATTAAACTTCTCTTTCTCTTTCCTCTTTCTTGTGGTTCTGATGTCTCTCATTTCACATGTCTTAGCCATGCCCTTTGCTTTGTACAAAAGTTATGACCTATTTGACTGGAGAAAAGCTTTTATGTACCACTGTGTATGAAAATGATTAAGTCCTGTTTCCTGTGTCTGAATTGTCAGTATTACGTCATGACAGAGGCTTATTTCTTTCTGAGGAACTGTCAGACCTTCTTAGTCAGAGATGAGTGCTTTTATCCAGCTCCCTCAAATTGTATCTCCCAGATCAGGAGGTGAGAGATTACCAGCAAAGCCAAGAGCAACTGCAGGAATATGCAGAATGGCTCATTCCAGTGCTCACAAACCATCTGGAAATGCTGATAGGAGTGTGATTTGTGGAAAAGACATTTTTTGTATTTGTGGCCTTTTAACGTTTAAGACAGGCTAAGGATGGAGGTTTTGGAACAGCCAAAAATGGAAAACAGTAAATAAGGTATTCAAATTTTTTTTAAAAATAGACTGTTTTATGAGTCCAGTAAGTTGGAGGTTCATGGATGGAGTTCATCAATGCACTCTTGACATACCAGTAGAGAGGGGTGTAGGCACCCTTTAGATAAATACATAGTTTAAGGCTTGGGTTAGGCAGTTCTCCAGTAAAGTGTCCCTTCTTTCACACAGTGTTCATATTTTAAATAGTTTTGGTTTTACAATATTATTCATAACCATCTGCAGTTTTATGGTAATAAAAGTTTGAAAAATACGGTTTCTCATCATGTGAGTCTTGCTGTGCTTTGTTGGCTGAAAGGACTGGGTTCTGTTTCACACAACAGAGCTGTGAGGAAAATTACAGATTCCATTAACTTCAGGCTAAAAGGCAGATCTCTTCCATTGCCACAGTTTCCCATTCTGATCTCAAAGAATTCAGTATCTCCCTAGGAAAGAGCCCTTTGGAGCGCACATAAAACCCTGAGTGGTCTCATTAGTGCTGCAGTGAACACCTGTAACCTGCCAACTGCAATTCAGTGTCTTCTCTACTCAAGGATCATCTGTTACAGCATTGTGTTAAAAATTTGTTTCTGGAGGGCTTTATCTTGATGCATAAAGCTTCTGGGTTTATGCTTCCCAGAAAACTGTCCTCCATCCAGCCTGGATTGTAACTGTATTTTTGGTTTGTAGGTGAATGACTTTGTTATTAACAGCCACTCATTGAACCTGGCTGTTGTATTACCTGGATGCTCTCTAAAACTGAGCTTTTTTTGATAATTTCTTTTCACTCTGCCAATTTGTTCAGATACAGGGTTAGCTTTTAAAATCACTGATAAAAATAGCAACAAGAGCAACGCATTCAATCCTGTACCTGTTGTCAGCTATAAAATTTTGAGGACAGGGCCCTTCTGTATTTCCTGCTGCATCCCTTGTTTATTGAACAAAGTATCTCTGTACACTTTGCTTTGAAGTGCCATTCAATGTTCCATCATTTGGCTCAGAAGTATCCTTGTTCTTTGGGAGCCTGAATCCCCCTTGCAGCGATCATCATAAATGGACGCAGTGGAGCAGACGTGTGAAGTGACACCTCCCCTCCACAATACACTTTTGTAAGAGAATAAGCAGTAGGTCACTGTGAGGGGAGGTGGAGGTTTTTTGGCACAGCAGACTGAGGAATTAGGAACAATAATAAGCAAAGTGTTTTCTCTCTGAATAACTATTTCTTGATTTCTTCCACCAAAAAGAGATAGGACCCTTCCAAGCAAAACAAACATTTTCATATCTTAGAGCAAAAGTCTGTCTCCTTCCTGGAGAGATTAGTGAGTGAGGACAATTTGTTTTTGTTCATGCAATCTACATTCAGTTTAATTTATCTTTGCCTGTTTAGGGAAGATAAATTTGCAAGTGTTTTGCTGCTGCTCTAATACTTGCTTAAAACATTTGCTGCATTTCATTGGAACTCCCCTGTATACTTCTTTTACAGCTAACAGTGGCTCCGAAATTCCTACCAAATACCTTGATCAGTGCAGATTTTGCAGCCAATTATCTCACTAAGATATATGGGCTCACATTTGGACAGAAACCAAACTTGAGGTAAGGGACTGGGAAGTAAAACAATACTGGTGTTCTGCCACTGCTTGGATGCAGTTGGTGGCTGATAAGAAACTCTCTGGCTAAACTATATTATTGCCTACTTATGTTTTTGGAAAGAAACTGTTTGTTATTCTCAGAATGAAAGATCTAACAAACACATTCCAAGGGCTTTTGCTAGCTGCCAGACACTTCTGAAAATATAAAATGAAATTGTCCCCATTTTATTTGTGTATTTGAGTTGAAAAGAACAATTTAGTTTCTCAAAATGGAGATTAGCTGTTTAGTAATCTCTGCTTTTATTATAGTCCATTAGTTTTTTAAAGTAAAATCAGGTGGACAGTACAGTAGAACTCAGTTCTATTCACGGTAAGCACTTCACCACCTTCAGAAGGGGTTCATACACCAGATCTGCTGCCAAAGGTCTCTGCTAGGTTCATGCTGTGATTTTCTTATGTGGATTGACAGCAGCACATCCATGTCAAACTCAGGGGCACACAGACCACCTCCTGTGAGGTGTGGGCTTTTCTAAAGGGGTTTTGAGTAATCTGCAGCATCCACACACTGCACCATCCAGATCCTGCAAAAGACATCCCAAACTGTTGGGAGCAATTTATACAGCCAGGTTTGAAAGCAGTTAATTACAGCTGACCCAGCTGAGCCCCTTCAGCTCAGTCTTGTGATGAACCAAAGAACTCTCCATTCCTACTGAATTCATTGAGAGCTGGAGCTGCTCTGCACTTCCTGGGCCTTTAGTCTCTCAGGAACTTGGAAGCTGGAAGGGCTGAGTCACTCACAGATTTCTGGCAATATCTCATGATGAAAGAAGCTAGATTTATATATGTTTTCTTCCTTAATCTGAGGTGGAGATGCTGTTGTGTTTTGATTCCATATTAAAATTATTGACTCTTCTGAAGTGATTTTAACACTCTTCTATACCAACACTAATTTTAATCAGAATAAGAGCTAATTGATTTCCAAGGTTACTCATATAAAATCCCAACACAGTGGTTTCAGTTGTTTTTTTTGCCCCCAGCAGAGTTCATGATCTCAGACTGATTATTTGGAGAGTAAGTTTTTAGAAAGGCAAATATTTGTGAGTTAAAAGTACAGCTGACCATGCAGGGTAAACAATACTTCCAGTGTAGCTCTGAACTCCCTGGAGTGTGTGATCACACAATTGTATTTCCATACTGAGCCTTTCCTTCCTTCCAGAAGGATGTTGCCAAGTTCTCTGCATCTGATAGAGAATCTAAGAACAAGTTTAAAAAGGTCACTTTGACACTTTTGCAGTTTTAACCTCTCTCTACAAATTTATCTGCCTGCGGCATCTGGGGGTAAACACAGGAAAGGAAGAGGTAATCAAAGTTACTAAAAGCATATAATTTCTTTTGTTAAAAAGAAGTAAAATGGATTAATTTAGCAGTTAAGCCAGTGAAAAGGAGGAATAACTTCACATAGGTATATTGCTTTGTACAGAATTGAAACCTGCTGTTTGGAGAAACTATTTTGTGAGTATTAAAGGTTGAAAGTAAGATGGGAAAAGGAAAAGTAAGAAACTGTCTCTCAATCCCAGTAGCTCATTAAAAACCAAAGCATAGAAAAGAGAAAAGACTGCAAGACTGAGTAAATCTGTTGCCTTTCTGTCAGTATTCTGAGTTCTAAGAGTAGGAGAGAAATTGTTTCCTGGGGTATTTCCAGCCTTCATGGGAGCAGAAAGAATGGAAGGTTAAGAGATGGTCCTTTCTTAAGAGACATCCAGGCTGATTTTGTAAGCCCAAGCAGCCCAGACTTAATTCCAAATAGAAGTTAAAATTGGGGCCATATCTGTTAAACAGAGATGAATTCTAACCCTCTGAGTGAGGCCCCCACACTGACATTCTGTGTTTTTAAGTATTGCACAGCCCCAGGCTCACACTTAGTTTCTTGTAAAGAAGTTAAGAACACGTGTGAAATTTGTATTCATGTGCAGGTTTGGGTTTTGAATAGATTTAACTTTCAGAGAGTATTGGGGCCAACCACTTGGTTTTGCATCTCTATCCCTTGCTAAGTTAAAGGACACGTTTTAAAAACAAATCTAATTATCTCAAGGAAAGAAGAAAAGATTGAAATTAGGTTTTAAACTAAGCTTTCTCTCAATAAACAAAAACTCCACATCACCCTATCTGTAGAACTTCATCTTTTACTTTCTTCCAACAGATCTGTGTATCTTCATAACAACAAACTTTCAGATGCTGGATTACCTGATAACATGTTCAATGGCTCTAATAATGTGGAGATACTCATCATGTCCAGCAATTTCTTGAAGTATGTTCCAAAGAATCTCCCTCCAGCACTATATAAATTACACTTACAGGTAATGAGAGCAAAGTTTTGTAATCCTTTAGGATTGTGTTTGTGTGGGTTTCACACCACATAGCCAAGATATCCCAGTGCACTTGGAAACATCCCAGCCCACTTTAAGCCTTTCCTGCTGTATTCTCAACAGTAGCTGTCCCCATCTCCTTCCTTTTTCATCTATAAGCAACAGTGTGTTTTTGCAAATCACCAGAATGCTCACAGGGGGCAGAAATGCCTTTCTGTGTTTGCAGGGGGATGCATTACAAATCCCTGTATGGTTGCATTGTTGGTCTCCTTCCTGCATAAAATGATATTAATACATATTAATACAGAAGTGCATCATTCCATGGCTATGTCTCCATGACCTCACAGTTAAGGTTGCCACTGATGCCACTTGTCCTGACAGTGGCAAGACAAGTGGCTTACCCCCTGCTTACCCACTCTATACTGGCTTTGCTCACTGACTCATTTCATACAGACCACTGCTTCCCAGCATCAGTGGCTACTGCTTGCTACTGAGCTGGCAATTCAGTTTGGATCAGGCATTCTCTACTGCTACAACTCCTCCAGCAACTGTGCAATAGCAGAGTTGCGCTGTTAACTACTCTCCAGCATTTTTAATTCCATGTCATCTGATTCTGATAAAAACACTTCATCATGTCTGAGTTGGAGATCTCAGCCTTAGCAATGGGAGAGCCACAACAGTGGGGAGTCCTGGGTCCACTCGCTCTGAGTGTTGACAGCTCCTTGGATATGCAGAGACTGGAGTCTGTTATCAGCCCTGGACTGAGGCAGCTTTGTGCTGCCTCCCAGTTCTCTTTTCCCTTGAAGGTTTTACCAGAATTCCTGTTAAAGTCTTCTAGAGAACAAGCTTCTCCAGCTTGAAGAAAAGTAAACGCAACCAGGCCAGTCCTTTAAATTGCTGGAATTTCTCTCCAAAGTATGAACTTGTCCTCTGCATTTTTTTGACACTTACAGATAATCATTATTTCCCAAAGGGGTCTCACACTTTGAGGATTACACTTTGAACTTGCCACCTTCCCTGCTGTCCCCAGCTGTGTTAAGGACAGAGGAGATGAGCAGTGAAATGGGTGTTTTATTTGCACATGCACCATTTGTCAGTAGTAACATTTACCTTGATATTTTAACTGGGAAAAACAGAGCAGTGAGAAATGAGAGGCAGTCAGAAGTGGACCAAAAATATCTGACAGGTGTACTTTAAATGTGATTTTTTTCTTTTACTATTTATTGAGGCAGCCAAATTTGTCTGTGTTGCTTTCTACTTTATAATAGTTGATAAATGAATCTGGTCCAGTCTGTCCATTACATTATAATGACCCCTAAATATTTTATGTCTAGCCCTTCTGAAGTTTAATTGCCCATGCTAGTTGAACAGAACCCAAATGTTGTGTTGATTCATGCCAAATACTGTGCTTTGTGTTCCTGGTGACTCTAGAGCAACAGGCTGGAGAAGATTCCCAAAGGAGCCTTCAGTGAACTTGCCGGTCTGCGGGAGCTGTATTTGCAGAATAACTACTTGTCTAATGAGGGAATGGACAACGAAACTTTCTGGTGAGACTGAGATGTGCACTTTGTACTTCTGTGTCTGTCTGCCCCCTCTGGGACAGTTGTGTATCTACTGAACAAAGTAAAAAGTAAAGTTATTAAAAGCTGGATGATGTTATGCATTTCACTGCTAAGTCTGAGATGCAGATGCTGCCATTCAAGAGCAAAGGTGTGGGTGAGTGGTTACAGAATAGTTTCATACAAAAGACAGAACACTGAACATCAGACAGCACCACTCCCTGCCTGCCACAGACCCGGTCACGCCAGATGCTAAGTCCCTTCTGGGAAAAGCCATGTAGAACAACACTGAAACCTACTCTCTGTTCTTCCAAAACAGTCAAAAGTGAAGTTACCTGGGACTTTCCAGTTTTTGGGGCACTTCACTGGGCCTTAAAGCCACACCTTCATCATGACTGGAGCCACTCATGTGTTTCTGTGAAGGTGGCTTGAAAGCAGCCACAGACACACAGTGAATTCCCCTGGCCCAGCTGTACCCCAGTGCAGGTGGTTGCTGGATGGAGTGGTGCTGCTCAAGAGCCAGATGGCTGCAAAAGCTTTGCTACAAACTGGTGCAACAAAAATAGCCTTTGGCTGTCCTAGATTTAGCCTGGGACTTAGCACTTTCAAAAATTTAACTTTTTTTTTTTTCTCTGCTTGCACTGAATGCTGCCCTTGTTCTACCTGAAAATCCAGACCACACAATTGGTCCTGCCCATAATTTAGTTCTGTAAACTCTCCTGATCTCCAGACATGAATATGTACCAAACTGTCCTTTTGTTTTCCTTTTCCCATTCCCAGAAACCTCCCCTAGTAGTTTACTGTATCTGTGTTGAGTCCACCTCCACCTCTTGTTGGACATAAAAAAATATCCCCATCTTGGGAAAATGTTACAAATGACAGCAGTGAAGCGTTTTACCTAAAGGTTATATTTGTTCATTCACAGCATGTTTGGATAGCTGGATTAGCAGTGTAGTAACCAGTAAGTAATGTCTGTAACACATTAGTTCTCATGTTTCCTGAAAACTTTCTAGTCATCTGAAATGGGTTATGTAGTGTCAAGTAGATTAAAACTCTAATTTGAACTGAGAAATTGACTTGAAATATAAGAGAATACAGTGTTCCTCAGTCCTGGCATGTAATACCATTGATCCACATCCAGTTGGTATAAGTGGCTGGTCTGAGGATTTAATTTAGCTTCAACTGAGACCATGGAATCCAGATTCAGTAGCTTACACAAAGCAGCTCTAGCCCTGACTCACTTCCATAATACTGGAGGGTCAGGAGAAGTTCACTACCTTAGCCTAGGACACTGAGGTAGCATTTCTGCTTTTCATAAGAGTAATGTTTTATCATCTAGAAAGCAGACCTGCCCTTCAGTTTTGGTATTTTCAGAGAGACAGAAATTTCTCATGCTCAGGTTTGTTTCTGTGAAATTGAGAGCTAAACTCTGTGTTCTGGTGGTGCGCCCATGCCATTTTCCTTGTCATATTTGTTCACTGAAATTGTTCATGTGTTGCTAACTGGGACTGCAGAACTGATCTCAGGCCTCAGCTCAGTGGCAATTTGGGTATGTGTGGACTGTGGCATGTTCCCTTGCTGGTGTGGCTGGAGAGTGGTGGCAGTGCCAAGTCCTAATTCCTAACGGCAAAATGGGAGCTCCCTGTTTTGGTGTCCACATCACGAATAAGAAACGGGCAGCTGGTAGTGGGAGCTGTACTTGGCAAAAAGGTTCTAAAGCAAAGATTGTAAAATCTTTGAGGAAATTGGTTATTGTTTCATCTTGCAGAATCAAACTGTTTTCTTTCCTGCTTTCCCAAGGAAATTGTCTAGTCTTGAATATCTGGATTTGTCCAGCAATAACCTCTCACAAATCCCAAGTGGTTTACCTCGAAACATCGTCCTCCTCCACCTGGAGAAGAATGCAATTAAGGTGATTGACAGAGATGTCTTGACCCAAATTAAGAACCTAGAGTACCTTCTGCTCCACAATAACAAATTAAAAGCCCGAGGTATTCACCCCTTAGCCTTCCATGGCCTGAAGAAGCTGCACACTGTCCACCTGTACAACAACATGCTGGAAAGGATCCCCAGTGGGCTGCCCCGGCGAGTGAAGACACTTATGATCCTTCATAACCAGATCTCAGAGATTAACAGGAATGACTTTGCTACCACTTACTTCCTTGAAGAGCTGAACCTGAGCTACAACAAACTCACAAGTCCCCAGATCCATCGGGAGGCCTTTCGTAAACTGCGGCAACTGAAGTCCCTGGATCTTTCTGGAAACAATCTCCACACGGTGCCTTTTGGCTTTCCAAAGAACTTGCAAGTACTGAAGCTGAAGGAGAATGAGATAAGCATCATCCCAAAAGGGACTTTGTCTGGGATGACAAAACTGAGGGAACTGTATTTGAGCAACAATAAACTGAAAGTAAATTCAATTTATTCAAGAGCATGGAGAGAACTCAGCAGTCTTCAGGTAGAAACATCACCTTCTCTAATTGCTTTAGTGATGCTGATGTCCTCATCTGTCTGCCTAAATCAAATTATGTAGCACCAATACTAAATGTGCTCGGTCCTTGTGCTCTAGGGTTGCATTGTAAATGCTACAGACGCTGTTTCTAGAGTAGAAATTATGTGCTGTTGTGCCAGAGGTGGGTACCTTCCACTGCTGGCCAGACCAGCTTTGTTTCTGAATCCTGACAGTGTCCTATATTTTCAGAAAAACATTAGTGAATGTTATCATTAAAACTGAAATTAGGCCTTTCAAATAGCTCGTCTCCCAAAAGATTTAAAATCAGCTCTGAATAGAGACAGCAGGAGGAAGGAATGCATAAACAAAAACACTCTTAATTCTCAAAGCCCCCACATCAGCTTATAGTCAGACAAGCCAAGCTGTAGGATTTAACAGCTCAGCTGGCTAAGGCACCTGGGGAGCAGCTCGGAGGTCTGGATTCAATCAGCAGTCTTCTCATTTGCTTAATTGTTGGAGAAAGTTAAACACAAACCATAAGGCAGGCAGGAACAATTATATTTGTGCTGAGCAAAATGACCTTTCAGAATTGTTACGCTGGCTGAAGGATTTGTCTGCATTTCCTTTTAGGCAATGGCCCCTTTTCTGCAGTGAAAGGTATTGCCTGTGTCGTATGGCAGCCATGGAGGTTGCAGGGTCACTGCACAGGCAAAGTGTGCACATCTCAGAGCAGATCAGGGATAAGGACATGGAGCATATGTCACATTGGCCCCCAGCGTGTTTTCAGACAATCCTGACGTTAATCTATACAACGTTTCCCTTTCTGTTGTGTCTGGGAATGACCAATAGCTTGTTTCTCAGTTAATGTCAATCAGCAAAGCAGCAACAGTGTCTGCAGAGCTGCAGATTTGGTCCCCGGCTTTAATAATACCTTTTGCATTTGTTTGGTGCCTCACTGATACATGTGTGAGTGTGTGCAAATGTATTTAACATGCAAAGCAGCCTGGAAGGAAGATGCTGTTGAAAATTACAGACTGCTGGGATTGTTTTTCTGCAGTAGCTTAATAAAATGTAGGTTATTTTATTTTCAAACAAAAATGGCTGATGAGCCCTGTTGGGCAGCTGGAGTTGCTGGTTGGAATGACGAACTTTCCTTCTCAAAGGTCCTGATTCACAATTATGTGAACTTTTGTTCCACTCTCACTCCTTTGCAGTTGGTGTAAAGTCAGAGGCATTGCTGACTCAACCATTGGCCATCCCCACAGCAAACCCCACTCCCATTAAACAGGCTTCAGATAATAGCATACACTTAAAGTTCTGCTGGACTAATGGGGCATTTATGACTGTTGCTTTTCTTTGGAACAACATTACTTGTTGGTTGTTTCTAGCTGAATCATTTCTATCATTAAGTGCTCAGCTGTGCAGTTGGTTTCTGAGTTGTTGCACTGGAGTGAATTTGCCAAATAACCATCCAGAAAGATCCTGATCAAGTATATACTTAGTAAATGCTTCAGTCCATACTGTTTCCATGGAAATCACCAGAGACTGTGCAACTGCAAAGCGAGACATTTACATAATGGACTTGGCAGTACTGGGTTAACAGTTGGAGTCAATGGTCTTAAAGCTTTTTTCCAACCTAAACAATTCAGTGGTTCTATGATAATTGTTTTCCAGACTGGCATTATGTAAGGAATAAAAACACTAGAATGAGGACAATTGTTTGCAGTAGTGTGGCTTTGAGTAGTGGGTAAATACTGTCAGGTTGGTGTTACAAAGATACTACAATACAGGATAACAAAACATTTCTATTGATCCATTCTCTTGCATTAAATTAATCTGAGAAATGATTATGACCTTTAGTCCTGCTGTCTTCACACATTCTCCATATTAGAATATTTCCAGATGGTTTTATGTGTAACTGTACCTATCACCATCCTTAGCCAGCAAAGTGTTTGCAGTAGCAGATGCCAAGGAATTCTGCATATCTGAAACCCAGCCTGGTCTTAATTTACTTAAAGCAGACATGGACTAATGCCTGTGGACAGAGGTACAAAGATGTTGGAACCCAGAAACTAACCAGCATGACATATCATGTGAAATCAGAATGCTCAATAGGAGTGTAAGAGAGTAGAATTGTCTTGGCCATACTTACCTTGATGCAAATTAGAGGTAGATTAAATTAGTTTCTTCTATAATAAATATAACTTCAAACTTCAGTCTCTTTCTGACGTGTTTCTAATATTTAAATTGGTTATTTGACCCCTTGTCTCTTTCTTGCAGTCACTAGACATGGCTGGCAACCAACTGACATCTATCCCATTAGGCCTGCCAGAATCTCTGGAGTATCTGTATCTCCAGAACAACAAGATCACAACGGTTTCAGAGAATACTTTTGAATCCACACCCAATATAAAGGGGATTTACCTCAGGTAAGGTCAAGTTTCCACTTCAATACAGAAGATTTTTTTCCTTCATCCACTTTATAATTGCTTCCTTTTTAGAAAGTATTTAAAATCCTCACTTTCTGAACAAGCATCTTTGGTTTATAGTGATATGTGACAAAATTCTATTCATCTGCTCAGAAAAGACATGGATACACATAATAAACTCTTTTTAAAGGGCTTGCCTTTTCTATGCTTATTATAATGGATTGGGCATGCCAGTAATTCTGGGTAATTAATGTTTAACATGATGTCATATTCCAATATTCAGCTGTGAGCCAAAAGTTTACAGTCCCCTTGTAGAAGTATAGTTTTGCCTGTGTCTGTTGGCCCTGAATTTTGACAAAATCGCCCTCCAGTGAGGTGTGTGTGACTAATCTTGAAGTTGTGTGCATTCCCTTGAAAGCTTTGTCAGAAGCAAGTGACAAGTTACAACTGTGACAGTTACGTAACTCAGTTTAGGGGCTTTGCTGAGTTTTTTCCCCACCCCGTCAGTTGGATGAGAACTTTGTTTTTATAGATGACAGATACTGACCTTTTTTTACATGTAATGTAAACTCACAGTAACAACTGATTTAAGCAGAGATTTATACCACAAGAAGTGAATCTGTTCCCACAATAGATTCAGTTTTAATCTGGTGAAATATTATTGAAAATATTGATTAGAAGTAATTTATGAATCCCTTTTATTAAGCTGATCCAATGGGTGTGTGCACAAGACTAAATATGGTCTTATTTTGTCTATATGCACCTAAACTGCCCCATATTTCTGAATAGTTCTGGAGCATACCTTTATGGATGAATGATTCTATACCAAGCAAATTAAATTTTAATGTCTGGTGTAAATTAGAGCAGTCTGTCTATTCAGCTGCTCACATTTATGAGATTTTAGTGAATGCTTGGATGTGAACCAGAAACCACATACCACATTCTATATTTCTGTATAAAGAAAAAAGGAATTTGCAAAACAGTTTTGCTAACATACTGAGGAGGCAACTCCACCCAAGCTCAGTTGTATTTTTAATGGGAGGCCATTAATCACTGCAGTGCTGTGAAACAATAATATACATATGGAATATTACACAGAATACAATTTTAAGCATGTTCAAGAGTTACAGAGCAGTATATATGACAGGTTCTTAAACTTCAGATTAGTTTATTTGTATTCCTGGAAATGTAAATAACAGCTGAAAAATTAATGCTTTGTGTTTAAAGGGTTACTTTGTTCTGAGTTTCTTAGGTTAAGAAATAAACTGTCAAGGAATGACACAGAATTTCATGAAAAATCAGTTATATTTTAAAATGTGGGCTGTGAAGCAGATGCTTTTCTTCTCTGGGAAGGAGAAAGGAGAATAGCAAGAGAAAGAATTTGTGGGGGAGGAATTCCAGTATTATGATCCAGAGGAGTCAGCACTTCTAGAATGCTGTTGTGAGTCTGTGTAAATTTAGAGTAACTTGGGTCAGTGAAGAGTAGTTGCAGAATGGTTTCCTCTTAGTCTCCTCATTTTTGTGTTGTATATAAAAAGGGGTTTATTTTAACAGGGGTGCCTTTTTTTCCTTTGTTTAAGGTTTAATAAGATTGCAGTTGGAGCACTGAAAGAAAGTATCTTCCAAAACCTGAAGCACTTACAAGTACTGGATATTGAGGGGAACCTTGAATTCAGCAACAGTTCAAAGAATAAGGATGACTCTGAAGAGGAAATGGAAGATGAGGAAGAGGAAGAGGAAGAGGAAGAAGAACGGAGATAAAATGTGAACTCATACAATCCCATCATGTGGGAGGTAACAACTGTAGTTGAGGCTCCAGTTCTCAGACTCTTGTGTAAATAATTCCTATATACACACATGATTGAAGCATAACAAATAAGTGTCTGAACCTTGAATTTAAAGACTTCCATTAAAATATGATGGGGAATCACAAATAAAAAAGGGTTGAAAATACAATATTTTGTAAAATGAAACAGTATATATCTGTTTTATCAGAGTTCTTAATGGACTGTTCTTACTGGCTTCTGTTTATAGCCACAGCAGACACAGTAGTTAAAGATGCAGGTCCTTGTTCACTAATTCTGATAACAAAAAATGCAAAGGTATTTCATGACATTTTAAAGCAATTACTTCAAAAGGAAAACAAAGAACAAACTGTAAAGCTTGCTGATGCAGAAGACATGAGATAAAAATAGATTAAAAATTAGATAACTTAAAGTAAGATTAAACCCATTGGTGTCTGTTAAATGTGTTATTAGATTACAAACTCTGTCTCAAGCAGTATTTAAATCACTGACCACTTGGAGGAGAAAAATAATGCTATACTTAGTGTATTTCTTATGGAAAAAATAGCACCTTTACTTGAATCTCTTTTCAACTGAAGAAAAAAAAGATACAGGGACAATGATATTTGAAGAATATGCATTTTTTTTCATAAGAATAGTGATCTATTTACTGCATCTCTTAAGCATCTTATGTTCAAAGATGATGAGGTTCAGGACTGCTCTTTGCTTCCGGAGGTCTAAACTCTTAAGTGTGGGGAAAAAAATAGTTTTGTCCCTAATCAACATTTTGTCACTGAGAATGACACAAGGAATTGCTAGGAATAGTGCTAATAAGCTTAAAAGATGATGGGGCTTGAAAAGGGCAGAAGGTACTTGGGAACTCAAAACATTAACCCTCTTGGCTGGGCTATATGAAAACTTTGTTAAACAAGAAATAATTTATATTTACAGACTTAGGATACATTCAGAATCAATGCATCTCTGGTTTTGTTTTGGGGCATGACATGTCAACAGGTACTATGTCTTATTCTGAATTCTGTATTCCATTATGTAACTTATTTTATTTTTCTGTTTTGCAGGAAAACATAAGGAAAAATACATATATGTCTATGTGTATATATCTATATAGATATACAGAGAACACTTAGCAAAACGTGCAATGAATTACGCAGAAACTGTCATGGCACTGGGCCAGGCTCATGGAAGACAGTGTGTTTCAGTGCCTTATTCAGGGAGAGACCCTGAATGCCTTTCCAAAGCTTCCAAATCATCTTATACAAGACCCAGGATCATAAGGGATTGCTCTGGAACTCACAAAAGCTGGCTTTTGTTTCTTCTGTTTCTCTTCCCTCACTGTTTCCATCTGTAATAACAATATGGGACTGTTTTGAACACAGGCCTTCAAATGCCATTTTTGTCAGTGCATTTTAAGTGAACCATGTTTATGCCTCTTTTCTTTTCCTCCACCCAAAAGAAGCTGTTGTTGGCCAGGGTAGATGGATATTTGCAGTAGTTTCATGTGCAGAGCAGTGTATGAGGCATTTTGGTCATCAAGCAGCAGTAATAATTCTGGATGCAATTATTTCTCTGTTATAACAATGTGTATATTTGGATGAGAAAAACAAAATAAGGCTGGATCCCGTAATATTTTATCTCTACTGCCAAGACCTGCAGTATATTCCTGTTTTAGAAAAGTTTTAAGATAAAACAATTGCTCTTGTGAATATATATATATATATATATATATAAAATTTGTATGTCTGCCTTCCAGAGCTTTGGTAAAGTTTCTGTCTTGCTGTTGTTTGCCCTTGGGGCAGTTGGGTGAATGTCTCCGAAGGTGTGATCAGAGGATGGAGTGACAGGATAAAGTTTAATGTATATGGTAGAATTTTCCACAGTGTATCTCATTCACAGTGAGAGGCAGGAGTGAGACTAATGATGCAGAAGAGATTAGTGATTGTGGGCTGTCTTAGGAGAAAACCATTAAGTGTCAAAAGAAATTTGTTTAGTTCAAGTCTGGAGACAGTGCTTGTTGTTATACTCTCTTAAAGCCTCCCCTATTTTATGATGTTGAGTGATCTCAGCTCCTGTTGGAATCATAGAAAATAAAGAAACCATGGAAAAGAAGACCTACAGAGGTACAAGTTTCTCAGTTGGTAATAATTCCTTCATCTAAGGCAGCTAATTTACTTAACAAAATGATCCTTTCTTTTGAGGATTTCTGATTGAACACATGTTGTTTTGCATACTGCATTCCAGGATTGACTTGGAAACACAGTTGGCTTAATTTTTTACCAGCTGTTTTCCTGCTGGAGACCTAGTTCCACATTCTCCCTTTGGTTTCCCATAGCACATGACAGTAATTTTAAGCTGTTGTTCTCTACCTTAGACAATTCAACACACTCATTAATCATGGAAGGAAAAATTGCTTCCTGAAAAAGTAAAAGCTTGGCCCTAGAAATTGCAAAACCCACACATTTTTTAATATCAGCTATACAGCTGAGCAATAAAATATCCTTCCAACTGACTGCTGGGATAGACTTCAATGTAAAATGTCTACAGAATGTAGCTCAAGTCAATTAGCCATCTCCAGCAAACACCAGTGGAAATTCTGTCAGCCTTCTGTGAAAAAGAATTTTATTAAACTCCTGAACAAGCTGAGAATATGCAGATTTGTAGAATTTTATGGAGAACTGGTCTATTGTCTTTAAACTTCTGTCCCTTGGACTACAATGCTATGAAAAGTCTGGTGCCTCAGACTTCTTTGAATCCCTTGAGAGTCTGATGCAGTGAGTGCAAAGGTGAAAGGTTCATTTTAGAACCTGTAGAATCCAGGCCAGAATGTCAGGATGATACATACACTGTTCAGCTTCTTGAGCAAGCAGCAGCCTTTACCAAAGGAGACCCACCTACAGTTTAAGGTGCAGATAGTATAGACCAGGTAAAGTTAGGAAACACCGAGTTTGTTTCAAGTAGTGGCATGCTGAATCTGTCCTTTAATAGCGCAGTGTTTTCCAGCAGCATTCCCCCCTCCAAAAAACCACCACCACTCTTACCCAGTAGAAGCCTCAGATGCTCCAAGGGTCTTTGATTATTCTGTAAGAGATTGGTAAGGGAAAATCACAGGCCTTATTCTTCACTTACCTGGTATCATCAGCACCTATGACAATGGACATAATTCTGTCAGACCAAAATGGTAGTTCATTTTTTTTCTCTTAAAGGAGTAAGAGATGCCATGAGGGATGTTGAAGTCCATGGACTAAATCAGAAGTCCACGGGACTAAGCCTACATATTTTTGACGGTGGGTGGTACCCATAATCCAAAAATCCAATCCAGACCTTGTAGGGAGCAGGGCCCAGGAACAGACTCTAATTTTATTATTTCCTTTAGTGAAAATGGGAATTGAGAAGTTGCCCTGTTCTTAGGCCACAAAGAGGCAACACAAACATTGCTTTCATGTACCTTTCTTCCTGTAATTTGCTTGGATTTAGGAAAGATAAGAATAGAAGGCTTTAAAGGCTGAGATAGATGTATGAATAGTGAAAACTTGAAGTCTAAAACGTTCAGTTGGCAATTTTATCCCTAAATATGCATTTGTGCATGCTTGGTATTCCTGTGTGTGGTAGGTATGCAGACTGAGATCTGGGTTTATTTGCTGTTTTTTCTTTTAAAAGCCATGTTTCCTCATTACAGAGGATACTGCAAAAATGGGGGGAAATGGAATTTTTCCAAGCTATGATTTTTTACAGCGACAGGAGTACAAATGCAGCTTGAGAGCTATAAAGAATTAATCAGCTGCCAAAAATAGCTCGTGGATAATGAGCTTTTATTTCAGGCGGTGGGCAGGTAGCCCATCTGTGTCTGCCATGTGGACGGGCCGTTCTGCAGCCGTTTCTCATCCCGTTCCTCCCGGATCCTCGCTCCCCGGCCATCCCCTCACGAGGCCTGGGGCACGAAGCGGCTGCTCCGCTCCCGCCTCCAGCCGCACCCCGGCCCTTCCAGAGAACCCCATGGCCGCTTCCCCAGAGACTGCTAAGGGAAAGGGCCTGCGAGTGCTGCATCCTCCCGAGAGCTTTTACCTCCCCGCATGGAGTTATGCCCTTTGCCTCCCCGTGCTGGGAGCTCAGGCGGGATGCGGGGAACCTGTTCCCCCCTGCTCCCCACACTCGCACAGCTGCAGGCTGCTCCTGACCCGAAGCGCTACGGAGCTCCCACAGCGGAGCGGGGGCCATCCCGCCGGCTGTGAGGGGAGCAGCTGCCGCGGCCATGGCGGCCCCTCTGTGGGGAGGAAGACAGCACAAGGCCGGGGCTTTCCCGGCCAAGATGGTACCCTGTGAGTCTCTCTGCAAGGAGCACCACAATCCCGCTGTCCGCAGCCTCAGCTGGCAGGAGGGGTGAGCTCCAGGGCGCCATGTGGGACGGAGGGAGGGAGGATAAGGGGCGGAGTGTGCTGAGGAGGGTCCTACCCTGCCTGCTGGGCCTCACAGGCCATACTGTGGTGTCCGGGCTAAGTGTTCTGTTTAATGAAAAAGAAGTGTTTTATGCAATATATAGATACTCTTCTGAGGAAAAAATATTTTAAAACTAATCTTTTTTTAGGAAAGATGGGACAAGACTATTTAAAAGAGCATGAAGTCACAGGACAAAGTGGAACGTGTTCTAATTGAAAGAGAGTAGGTTTATATTAGATATTAGGAAAAAAATTCTTCATTGTGAGGGTGGTGAGGCCGTGGCATGGGTTGCCTAGAGAAGCTGTGGCTGCCCCATCCTTGAAGGTGTACAAGGTGAGTTGGATGGGGCTTGGAGCAACCTGGGATAGTGGAATGCGCCCCTGCCCATGGCAGGGGATTAGAACTAGATGATCTTCTAGGTCCCCTTACGATCCAAAGATTCTGTGATTCTTTGAAAAAAAGAAAAACCCCTAAAGAAAAACTATGGATGAAATTTGAAGGGGGATGTGGTGGTGCAGAGGGAGGTTGCGAAGGCCTCCCTTCAGGGAGCAGTGACATCTCCTGAGGAATTGACTGCAGATCTGGCAGCAGGACAAGGTCCCTGGCAGTGGGACAAGGTCCCTGGCAGTGGGACAGGGCCCCTGGCAGCAGGACAGGGCCCCGTGGGGCTGCTCCCCGGGTCTGGCAGCTGCCCCCTCACCAGGGACTCTGGGCCAGGCAGCCCTGCCAGGGCGAAGAGCTGCTGCATCTGCTCAACACAAGAATCGCTGCTTTGGGGACTTGGAGATTATTTATCTTAGCTCTCATAAATCCTTCAGGACTGTATATTAAAAGGGCAGTTGGGGAAAGGATCCTCCAGCTCCTGCAGGTGGTGAAGAGCTGGGCTGGCAGGGCTGCTCCTAAGGCATCTGTGGCCAAATGCTCTCCTCTTCTGGTGCTGCTGTTCAAGACAAATACAGGGGACTTTTCCTGAGCATGGCTTCGGTGCACGCAGGACACAGCACACAGGCTGGGGACCTGTTTAGCAAAGTAGATGAGAATGGGAAGTGTCCTCCTTCCTGGGACCCCACTGCCTTTTCTGCTCCCCAGTGTTCCACACAGAGCAGGGAGGTGGGAGGGGTCTAATCAAAACTTCAGGATTGTTCTCTCTTGCAAGTCTTTCCTGATGGTAAATAAGAGTTTAATTGATGCACTTTCTCAGCATGTTGACTGAGCCCACCAACATTTTTGCAAATTTTGCTTAAAAAAAGCACTAAGTAAATTAATTCTTATTTAATAAGAATAAAGACGTATACAAATATAATTTTTGATGGGAAGCAGTCTTCTGAGAAGCTTTTATGATACAGTCCAATATCCTGCTAATTGATTTCACTCTACAGTGTAATGTTGGTGATTTTTGCTTCCTGGGTTTGGGTTATCCTAAAAACTTAAACATATATAGTCTCATATAATATAAGCTTTGTTTTTTAAAAAATATTTCCTTCTCTAATGGGATCAAATTATGGAGGTCATTGTAATTGGTTTATTATGTTGCTAATACAAGAACAGTGAGTAAATTCCCTAAAGAACTCCATTGCCTTTAGTGAGGAAAATATTGGTGTGCCCTGTAGCTGTGATTCATGCTGCTATTGTGAACTCAGCCAGCTGTGACATATATGTGCAGGCAATGGAAGATAAATGTGTTCTAATAATCCAGTATACAAAGTATTTCCATAAAAATTCTTCAGTAGTATCCAAGGACATTAAAAGTCCATCAGTAAAGTCCTTCTTTTCAATGGTTTTGAATCAGGCAAAGAGTGTTTTAATGCACAGTTGTACAGGCTACTCAAGTTTTCCCCATGATAGTTCCAGAATCTGTTTATAGCATATGATTGTGATACTGCTGAGAACATTGCTTCTGATAAAAAATTGTATGGATTTTCAGTATTGTGAACTCCAGTTGCATTCAAGAAAATAACGAGACTTATTTTGTTACTTGGGATATAATTGTGTGTTTGTTGACAGTCATAGTAGGAATTAGCTTTAAAAAGATCTTAAGATGCGTCTTTTATGCAGGATTAAAATTAACTTTGATTACTTACATAACACTTTAGATGTCTCCTTTCTGGTGGACCTCTGTTTTGGGTCTGTTTATTGCAAATGCAACAGTAAAATAAAACTAGAAGCACTTCCCTGATATGCCAAAGAGTTGAGTTGCTGTACCCTGAGGCACCCTTACCATCCACAGCTTGAATGATTTGATGCTGGAAGACTCACTTTGGTTGTTCTTGCTCTCTCTGCAAAGCAGGTAGGAAGAACTAAAGTGAATCTCCCAATGCCAAACCAGGCAGAAACAACCAAAGTTAATCTTCCAGGTTGTTCCCACCTGTGGGATGAACAAAATGGGATGCAGATCACCTCTTAATACCTATTGTGAAATTTACTCTGGAGAGCTTGTGCAGAAGGTGAGGTATGGAGCTGTATATCAGTCCTGTGCTGAGCACCAGTGTGGAGACCACAGCTGAGAAGGAGCTGTTGAAATTCTCCCAATTGCAGAGCTTTTAAACTTACTTCCAAAACTTCCTGCCAGAGCTAGATCCAGCCACAGTGCTGGACTGACACCCTCCTGTCCATCCCCACTCCTCCCTCCCCAGAGACATGGTTAGTAAGGATTCACGTCAGAGAAATGATTTATTAAAAAAAGTGGA